GGGTCGAAAATGTGCCCAAAAAACGCATGTGCATGCAGGGAGGAGGAAAAGGTGGTGGGTACTTAGTTTAGCCCTGAAGACGCCGGAGGCCTGTGGCCTCGGCGGATTTAGTTTATGTCGTTCGTGCACTGACCACCTGTCTAATCTATATTTTAGCATATTTACTGAAGCCATATTTGGTCAATTGGGTTAAGCTACCTCACAAGGTAGCACCACTTGGACATACTTTTTAAAATAACACGAAAAGCGATTCGGAGTCAGATAACTTCTCTCGAAAAGTCAGCTATTCCGACTGAGAGGCGGAAGCCGCACGATATACATTGTGTGTCGTCGGAGATTCGAAGTCGGTGGTTTGCGAAGATGGCCGACATTTGCTTGCGGGTGGTAGACACAAGACTGGGCCGGACTTCGTTCGGATTCCCAACGCGTATGGCAGAAAGCAAGCCCAAATCAACACCACCAAAAAGCGACCAAAACCAGAATTACAAACACCAAAAACAACCAATACCAAAACCACCCAAAACCAAAAACAGCAAAGCAACCAATCACACAAATTCCTGCAAGTCTTCCGGGAAATCTGTAATCCAGGACTCTGGACCAATCCTTTCTGAACATTTTGTTTATATTTTTCCTAATTTTCTTGGAGTTGTCGTACTGCGCTTTTCTTGGTTTGTCTCTGGAGTGCTTCCTTTGGGATGTTTGAAAGCGAATGTGTCTGATTAATGTTAGCTTCTTTGTGTCAGTTTGCATTGGACTTGTTTTCCGCGAGAGAAGCAAACGCAGCGGACAGGTTACAGCCTTAATAGTAGCAATAGTATTAAAGCAGAAAGATTGTCATCACTGTTATGATTGTGATGATGATGACGATGATGATGATTGCTCCTATTAGAGTTATACTAACTGTAAAACACCGGCCCAGGCTTCTTCTTTTCCTTTGGAGCCCGACTTTCTGCGTCGTCTACTGGGTCTTCTGTCACCTCGAAGGCCCTGATCTCATGGCTTCTAAGAACGAAGCCCCTTAATTTGTTTTCAGGGTCTAGGGAGTGAAGATTTCCAGTTCCCCAAGCTTCAAAGCCCCAGTTGACTTGCTGCATGCCCCGCACTGCATCGACCTCAGACCCAAACCCAAAGCCCAAAGCCCAAAGTCCCAAACAAGACCTGACACCCCGAAAATGCGGCACAGCGTAAAACTTCGCAGCAAGAGCGGGAAATACTGCACCCTGTAAGACCCCAGGCACACTCAGGCTCAGGCATCTTCCAAGGAATCATTCTGCAGTGTATGTTATGACTGCACAGAGCATGTCTAGTCTTTGTCAGGTGCCCGAAGCTCTGAGCGATAGCACCGTGAAGCCCTAAACCCTAAACTCCAAAGCCCCGAAGCCTTAAAGAAGCTCCAGATCCTCCCTACTCTTTAAATCTCGAAACCCTGACACATCCTAAAACCCTAAACCCTCAGTGCGAAACAAGGGCGCAACCTGAACCCGAAAAAGGCTGTGGGTAATGGGGTGAAGGTCTCGGGGGGCCCATGGTTTGGCGATTCCGCTTGAACCACCAGACTTTGAGTGCAGGGCTTAGGGGTTCGGGCCGTTTTGGGGGTTTGTCCTTTAGGTTGATATCGGCGAGATGCATCCGAAAGGTGAGAGCGTCCCGGTAAGCCTGCTTGAAACCGAAACTCCAAAGTGCATACATCGAAACCAGTACATCAAGGCGTTGCAGACGCGCGAGGCCATGAACAAATCGGATTTGATTTTCGGTGTTAATCTGTTAATCCTATGCCAAACCTCAAGCCCACAACAGTTAAAAACATATTGCAATCTTCCAAGGGATGCTCTTGCTGTGTGCCATCTCCTACCTTTGGCATGCCTTCGTGGAGGAGTCTGTGCCGTGGCAGCAGTTCGCTTGGTACCGAAAATCCCCAACCTCCCAGGCCCCAGCAGCAGCATTTTCCCTCTCTCTCTCTCTCTCTCTCTCTTTCGCTCTATCTCNNNNAGCATCGGTAACGATATCTGCAAGCTGACTCTCGTTGCCATCATCTTCACTTGTGCAGTATATACCCGCACTCTTGAAATAAGCTCAAGACGTCCAGCATTCTCTTACCCATTTCGTGATTAATACAGCTTGCTGCACCGGTGAAACTGTCATTTTGGAGGTGGGGGTCTTGAAACACGTCGGGCTCCCTGTAGCAAGAACCCTGTCAGTCGCGGTCTGTGTCACGCGTCCTTTGTTTCCTGAGACTCCCACATCCTTGGTGTTCTTGGTACCATTCTTGTTCTTCCTGTTGCTGGTTGCCAGCGACTGCGGGGCAGCCACTGGGGTTGCTGACTCGCCCGACTACCATTGCAGGATTTCCATGTGGTGCACCATCATTCCCCTTCTAC